ATTCTTAATTATTCTCTCCCTGGCACCACCACCATCCCCTCCCACAAACCGACACTGTCTGCTTGCTCATTGTCCATAACAACCAGCCCGGATAGTTACCTTATAGGTCAGGACTAGGAACCACCTCTGATTCTATGATTCTTGAGAGGAAAAAAGCTGTCCAACCCTGGTAGGTAAGTGTTATCAATGGAACACAAGCGTAGCCTGGACCTGCCCTCAAACTGTGGAAGGTCTAGGGCTTTACCCATTTGCAAGCTAATAAGCTAGCACACTGGAGTTTTACAGATGCTGGCAGAAGACACAAACTCTTGAGTCTGAGACCAAGAACCTGTTATAGCAACAGCCATAGACAGAGTAGCAGCATTTACGCCAGCTTAAGACCCAATTCCCCAGGGCCACACACATGCTGTGGGCTGTGTCTCAGGAGAGGAACCCCAAGCTCTGGCTGAACTTTGCCCTAGGGGGCATTATCTTTACTGCATGGGTATAAATAAACCCACCCTATGCTTTGGAAGGAGACAGCATCTCTGTCTTCTAAGGATGTCTGCTATACACACATCCTTGAAAAGACAGCCAAAAACAAAGGAGGTCAGCTCCTCTGCTCTTAACACATGAACAGGAGAGATCCTGTGTCTCGACAGTATCTAAATAAATGGAGACATATACTTGTGTTCATGCACTGTAAGTCTCAATATTGGTAAAGTATCAATTCTCCCCCAAAATAAACTGTTGCTTCAACACAATGCCAATAAAAATTCCAACAGGATTCTTTTTGGTAGCAAGTGATGAGCTGATTTTTAAATTCAAATGGAAAGGCAAAGGGCTTAAAAATAGACAAAACCACCTTTAAAAAGAAGAACAAAGTCAGAGGACTTACACTACCGGACTTCAAGAGTTATTATAAAGCATGGTGGCCAGGCACAGTGGCTCACACCTGCAATCCCAGCACTTTGGGACACCAAGGTGGGCAGATCATGAGGTCAGGAGATTGAGAGCATCCTGGCCAACATGGTGAAACCATCTCTGCTAAAATACAAAAAATTAGCCAGGCATGGTGACTCATACCTGTAGTCCCAGCTACTCGGGAGGCCGAAGCAGGGCAATCGCTTGAACCCAGAAAGTGGAGGTTGCAGTGAGTCCAGTTGGCACCACTGCACTCCAGCCTGGCAACAGAGCAAGACTCTGTCTCAAAATACATACATACATGCATAAAAATAAAGCATGGTATTGGCATAATAATCCAAAAACAGACAAATGAAACAGAACAAAATCCAAAATGACCTTCACATGTATTGTCAACTGATTGTCAACAAGGTGCAAAGGCAATTCACCAGAGAACAAGGTCTCCAAAACGAACAGTACTGGATCAACTAGAAAGCCTTATGCAAATAAAAATAAATAAATAACTCTCACCACAAATCAAATACCTAAATATAAAATGCAAACTATAAAACTACTAGAAAAAAACACATTAGAAACCTTTGTGATTCCGATTTAGGAAAAAATTCCTACAACAAAAGCATGATTCTTAGAAGAAAAAGAATGATAAACTTGATCACATTTAAGATAGGTCTTCTGCTCTTCAGAAGATGCTCTTAAGAGAATGAAAGACAAGCCACAAGCTGGAAAAAAATATTTTTCCAACACATTTGTCAAAGGATGCACAAACTGAACACAAAAAGAACTCTAGATATTAAGAATCAATCTGATTTTTTAAAATAAACAAAACATATGAAGCTATTATCAAAGAAGTTATATGAATAGCAAATAAAACAAGAAAAGATACTCAACATCATTAGTCATAGCAAAAATACAAATTAAAACCACAGTAACGTATCACAACATCCCTACAGGAATGTCTGAAAGTAGAGAGAATGACCACACACAGATACACTGCTGCTGGGAACGTAAGATGGTACAACCACTTTGGAAAACAGGGTGGCAGTTTCCTAAAAACTAACATGCATCTACCATATGCCCCAGGCATTCCACTTGTAGGTACTTGCCAGAGAGAAACAAAAGCATATGTTCACGCAAACACTTGTACAGCAATGCGGCCAGATGCTGTGGCTCACGCCTGTAATCTCAGCACTTTGGGAGATCGAGGCAGGTGGAGGTGGGTCAGAAGATCGAGATCACCCTGGCCAACATGGCGAAAACCCATCTCTACTAAAAACACAAAATTAGCTACATGTGGTGGCACGCGGCTGTAACCCCAGCTACTCGGGAGGCGGAGGCAGGAGAATCGCTTGAACCAGGGAGTCAGAGGCTGCAGTGAGCAGAGATCGTGCCACTGCACTCCAACCTGGCAACAGAGCAGAATTCTGTCTCAAAAAAAGAAAAAAAAGAAAAAAACTGCTCCCAAAAGCTTTACGTATAACAGTCAAAGCCTCAAAAGCTGGATACAACCCAAATGTCCATTCCTAGCTGAATTGATACACCAATTCTGGTGTATCTACAACATGGAATATTATTTAGCAATAAAAAGTGATAAACTATTAATACACACAACAACATGGATGATCTCAAAATAATTATGAGCAAAAGAAACTCAGCAAAAATGAATATAAACTATATGATTCCACTTATATAAAATTGCAGAAAATGGAAACTACAGTGCAGAAAGGAGGCGAGTCACTGCCTGGAAAGCATGGAGGAGGGGAGCAGGGAGGAGGGGCCACATGGAGGAGGGGAGCAGGGAGGAGGGGCCACATGGAGGAGGGGAGCAGGGAGGAGGGGCCACATGGAGGGGAGCAGGGAGGAGGGGCCACATGGAGGAGGGGAGCAGGGAGGAGGGGCCACATGGAGGAGGGGAGCAGGGAGGAGGGGCCACATGGAGGAGGGGAGCAGGGAGGAGGGGCCACATGGAGGAGGGGAGCAGGGAGGAGGGGCCACATGGAGGAGGGGAGCAGGGAGGAGGGGCCACATGGAGGAGGGGAGCAGGGAGGAGGGGCCACATGGAGGAGGGGAGCAGGGAGGAGGGGCCACATGGAGGAGGGGAGCAGGGAGGAGGGGCCACATGGAGGAGGGGAGCAGGGAGGAGGGGCCACATGGAGGAGGGGAGCAGGGAGGAGGGGCCACATGGAGGAGGGGAGCAGGGAGGAGGGGCCACATGGAGGAGGGGAGCAGGGAGGAGGGGCCACATGGAGGAGGGGAGCAGGGAGGAGGGGAGCAGGGAGGAGGGGCCACATGGAGGAGGGGAGCAGGGAGGAGGGGCCACATGGAGGAGGGGAGCAGGGAGGAGGGGCCACATGGAGGAGGGGAGCAGGGAGGAGGGGCCACATGGAGGAGGGGAGCAGGGAGGAGGGGCCACATGGAGGAGGGGAGCAGGGAGGAGGGGCCACATGGAGGAGGGGAGCAGGGAGGAGGGGCCACATGGAGGAGGGGAGCAGGGAGGAGGGGCCACATGGAGGAGGGGAGCAGGGAGGAGGGGCCACATGGAGGAGGGGAGCAGGGAGGAGGGGCCACATGGAGGAGGGGAGCAGGGAGGAGGGGCCACATGGAGGAGGGGAGCAGGGAGGAGGGACCACAAAGGGGCACAAAGTGCCTTTGGAGGTCACGGGTTTGCTCATTACCTTGACTGTGGTGGTCATTTTACAGGTGGACATCTATATCAACACTTGTCAATTGTTCACTTCAAATATATGCAACTTAATACATGTCAATTATACATCAACAAAGCTTTTTTTTTTTTTTTAAAAAAAAGCATTCACCACCAAATGGAATTGACACTAAAAAACAGAAGTTAATTTGAATTATGAAAAAATAAGAAAAGTTAATTTATTTTTATACTTGGGTGAAGTGTATACTCATTGACATATAGTGTTAAAAATGATGATGAAATTGGGACAGAACTTTAGGTTAGACTGGTAGTTGCGAGTGAAGAGGAAAGGAAGCAGTAAAGATAGCTTTTTAAAGAAATTTTAAAGCATGCACACACTACATGTGTACTTCTCTTCAGAGCTGTGGTGTCTTTCCGATTTCTTTTTACCCAAATTCTTTAACAGTGGGTCTTCTCTTTTACCTGATAGAGCCACATACCCACATATAGTACCATGCTGTTAAAAGAAAATGGGATACGTTGATGCTGTTTACCAGCTGTTTTTTAAGACAAATTTTCCTTGTGTTGTAGGGACACCAATAAATCATAACCAAATTGAAAGCAATACTTCAGAAACAAAACTAGAGACAACTTAACATACAAAGGAATTTTCTAAAATTTGAAATCTTTTTTTTTAAAGAAATAACATCTTGAGATAATCAATCCTACTTTCTCATACTTTAAAGTTTCCTTCAGCTACAGAAGAGCAGGTATACAGTAGGCCTCTCTAATCCGCAGTTTTACTTTCTGCAGTTTCAGTTAGCCGCAGTCAACCATGGTCTGGAAATATCAAGTGGAAAATTCCAGAAATAAACAATTCTTAAGCTTTAAATTGCGCACCATTCTGAGTAGCATGATGAAATCCGGTGCTGCCATCCCACTCCGTCCCATCAGGGACATGAACCACTCCTGTGTCCAGCATAACCTCCGTACATCTGCTATGTCCCATCAGGGACGTGAACCACTCCTGTGTCCAGCATAACCTCCGTACATCTGCTATGTCCCATCAGGGACGTGAACCACTCCTGTGTCCAGCATAACCTCCGTACATCTGCTATGTGCCCTTAGGTGATTCAGCAGCTGTCTAGGTTATCAGGTCAACTGCTGTAGAACCATAGCACTGTGTTCAAGTAACTTATTTTACCTCATGATGGGCCTAAAGCCCAAGAACAGCGGTGCTGGCTTATTATTACAGTTGTTTATCATCTCTACATCTAATTATAAATTAAACTTTATCATACAGACGTATGAATTTTAATAAACATAGTCTATAGAGAGGGTTTGGTGCTATCTCTGGTTTCGGGCATCTGCTGGGAAACTTGAAACATACCTCCTATGGATAAGGGAGGACTACGGCATAAACTGTACGAGCAGCTGTACAGATAACCACTTCTCTTACCGCTCAAAAGCCACCACAGCAAAGGGATGAATCCTGGACTCTCACTGATATATTTCAAGCCTTTCAAATTGATGCTCACATTGTACAGGGACATCAGCATTAGTCTGAAATGTAAAAGAAAAAGGTGTTGGAATGCTCCATCCACATTACATTTCACCCTAAACATGTCTCCTAGTTAAGGGGACCTTAACATATTTAGAGCTTCCCTCACACTTTAGATGTCTAATTCTACAATCTGGATAATTACTATAACATGTATATGTGAGGCTACAGAAAAAAGGGAAACTTCAGCAATGATATCACATAATACTGCCCTTCATAGGCTCACATAATCAAGAGTCTCAAATGCAGAGAGGATCCCATGGGAAACCTCACAAACCGTATTTATTGATTTATCTCTTTTATTACCAATCCTGCATTAATATACAGGCAACCCTAAATTTATAAGAGTATTGTACTCTCAAAGTTCAATTCAGCCATCTAAAACCTAACAATACCTTTTCATTCAATGAACATTACACATGACATCCAGGTAGCCAGGTCAGGCCACAGGACTGCATAATCACAGTACGAGAAATGAAGAGTCCTACAACACAACTATCCCTCACAACAAACAGAGCAGTTTACTGAGTAGAAAAGACTTTACAAGCTGTTTCAGGGTTGAACCACGGCTGGCAATGCAGAGTCTGATGAAAGTCAGAAACCTCAGGACTTTGGTTTCTGCAAATACTGCAAAATACAGAGATCCCAAACACTTTACACTGCAGGGCAATAAAAAGCCTAGACAAATAGTGTTCTCAAAGCCTTTGAAATAATGAATGAGTTTGCAAGAAATGAAAGGAAAACATCTCTGATCAGGAACAAAGTAAGAGCACAAAATCTGAGAGAGAAGTGCAAAAGATACTAAGATTCCAGAAGACTGGAGCTTCAGTTAAGAGTGGCTTCATGCAGGGACAGAGGGAAAAGCCTCAGAGAGACACGGGCATTCAGTTCACAGGCCCTGCAGAGTAAACTTACAAGCTTAGCAGGAATTCACATTTTTGGTAGGCCTGAAAAACCCCAGGCCAGTACTTTTAATATAAAACAGACCTGGGATAGAAGCTCCCCCAGCTTCCTGGACATTAAAGGAAAGGATCCTCAACCTGGTCGTCAAAAGAATTCCCACAAATACAGTACTAACAAATGAGTGCAGAACAAGAATCATAATAAAACACACGACAAAAACAAGGCCAGGTAAGTAACAACCAGCACAAAGAACCAATAACAGGGATAGAACCAAATATTTTTCAGACACTAGAAGTATTAACTGCAGAATAGAAAAACTTATATGATTAAGAGGTGGGGATAATTTTAAAATAAATTAAAAACATAATCAAGAAGCTAGGACTACTACGAATGACCAGCCAATTCAAAAATAACAGCAGAATTTACAAAAACAAAAACAATAATTAAAATGTAAGCCTCAAGGATAATTAGACACATGGAAAAGGATGAATACTAAACAGAAAATAGAGCTCAAGAAACTATAGCAAGAAAGAAAACTAGATGAAAGAGAAGTAAAGTCCAAGAAGGCAAAAGTGAAAAGTTCAAAATTCTTCCAAATAGGGTCCACGAAGAAAGAACAGAAAGAATAAAGGAGAAAAAATAATTCAAAAATATTTTCCAGAAATGAGTAAATATAAATCCTCAGATTCAGGAGGCACAAAAAAATCTCAAGAAAGATAAACAAAAATAAATACAAATCTACATATATCACAACCAAACTTTAGAAAATTAAAGACAAATTTTATAAAGCAGCCAGAGAGAAAGGACATATTACCTACAAAAGAGTAATTACGCCAAAAGTTAAGCTCTCTATATTTACCAAGCATAAAGAGAAAATAATAATAAACTTAAATTGTAAACTTGGCAAAAAGATTTTCATCAAAAGAGGTAAAGATATTGTCAAAGAAAATCTCAGACATTTTAAACAAACAGATCTGAACTGACAGAATTTGAAGGACAGACTACGGAAAAAGGAAAATGACATCAGGAGAATATCCTGAGATACAAAGAGAAGGTAAGTAAAGAGAGATGTAGGTGAACAGAAGTAAACGTTGGTGGTAAAAGCAGTAATAAAAATCTCTGTGAGATTTTTGAAACTTCTCAAAATAAGATACAGTCCATGAGTGCACATAATCCAGGATGTAAGTATTAGAACATTCTAAGATCCTTTACCATTCAGGTGAAAAAGACTTTTAAGTATGCCAAATACATCAAAGCATGCTTTTAAAAAGGGGCTATCACTGAAAGAAATAAAGGTAAAATTTCAAGACACTAGAAGAATAAAATGAACTCAAAAAAGATCTTAGTGACTTTGAACGAAAGATAAAAGAGAAAGAACCTGCTGAAAGAATAGAAAAGGAATGAAAAGAGAAAGGACGAAGAAGAAAGAGAAGGAAGAAAGAGAGTGGAAGGAAGGGAAGGAGGGAAGGAGGGAAGGAGGGAGAGAGGGAGGGATGGAGTGAGAGAGAAAGGGAGGGAGGGAGGGAGCGATAGATAACTCAGAAAAAAATCATAATAAAAAATAGGACAGAATAAATCCAATTATTTCATTAATCACAAATGTTAATGAACAGGATATTCCTATTAAAAAGCATAGATTATACATTGTTAAAGGAAAAACAAAATGTAACCACGGACTATTTCAAAGAAACACATCTGAAACAAGTTTGCAGAAAGGGGCTGGGTGTGGTGGCTCACACCTGTAATCCCAGCACTTTGGGAGGCCAAGGTGGGCAGATAGCTTGAGGTCAGGAGTTCAAGACCAGCCTGGCCAACATGGCAAAACCCTGTCTCTACTAAAAATATGGAAAAAATAGCCAGGTGTGGTAACATGCACCTGTAGTCCCAGCTACTAGGGAAGTTGAAGCAGGAGAATCTCTTGAAAGCAGGAGGCAGAGGTTGTAGTGAAGCAAGATTGTGCCACTACCCTCCAGCCTGGGCAACAGAGTAAGACTCTGTCTCAGAAAAAAAGAAAATCAGTTTATGGAAAGGTTGAAAGTAAAGGAATGGGAAAAGATATATCAAATGAATACTAATGAAAAAGAAGAAAGAGAAGGCTGAGGTTGCTACATTAACAGAAAAGAATATAGACTGGGTGCAGTGGCTCATGCCTATAATCAATCACAACACTTTCAGAGGCCGAGGCAGGCGGACAGCTTGAGCCCAGGAGTTGGAGACCAGCCTGGGCAACATGACAAGACCCCATCTCTGCAAAAAAAAATACAAAAACTAGCTGAGTGTGGTGGCGTGCACCTGTGGTCCCAGCTACTGGAGCAGCTGAGGTGGGAGGATCACTTGAGCCCAGGAGGTCGAGGCTGTGATAGTGCCAGTACACTCCAGCCTGGGTGACAAAGCAAGATCATATCTCAAAAATAGTAACTAAAAATAAATAATAATTAAAAAAGAAAAGAAGGGAAAGCATCTTTAAAAATTAAGAGGCTAAATATTTAATGCTGAAAAGTTCAGTTCATCAGGAGGGTAGCATTTTAAACTTGCATGTACCTAGTAATACAGCCTCAAAAATACATAAAGGCACAAACTGAAAAACTACAAGGAAAAGCTGACCAGTCTACAATAATGGTAGATTTTAAGACATCTCTTACAGCACTTAATACATTAAGCTGATTCTCTGATCCACTACACAATTAAGTTAAAAAATCAATTTTTAAAGTAAGCTTTAAAACTCTAAGTAACATTTAGAGAATTAAAAGTTCGCCTCTATAAGTCAAAGAAATTATGAGGAAAATTGGGCAACTGAACAAGAATGACTATACGAAAATAAAACTTGTGAAGCTACTGGAATACACACACACACACACACACACACACACAGCCTTAAATACTTATTCCAGCAAGAAAAGCTGCAGCAATGGCAGAGTAACTTGCATTGGACTAACTCTCCCACCAGTAAGAATCAAATTCTGAACAAAATATAGGAACCTATTTAAGGGGATCGGAAGGCAGCCAAAGGCAGGCAGAAACTGAAGAGAAGTGGCCCCTTGAAAGAAGAGAGGTGGCTCATGCCTATAATCCCAGCATTTTGGGAGGCCAACACGGGAGGACTGCTTGAGCCCAGGAGTTCAAGACCAGCTTGGGCAATACGACGAGATCCCATCTCTTCAACAAAAAGCAAACAACAACAAAACAAACATAGGCATGGTGGCACATGCTTGTAGTCTCAGCTACTCAGAAGGCTGAGGCGAGAGAATCACTTGAGCCCAGGAATGTCAAGGCTGCAGTGAGCCATAACGGTGCCACTGTGCTCCAGCCTGGGTGACAGAGCAGAACCTTGCCTCAAAAAAAAAAAAAAAAAAAAAAAAAAAAAAAAAAAAGAAGCTTTTTTAGATAACGAGGGCAAATACACTGAGGTTTAGGCAAGGCCACACGTGGGTAAACCTCCATGTAGGCACCAAGGAAGGAGAGCTCAGCAGGTCCCCGGAACAATCAGTGCCTGAAGGATGTCTTCGTTTATAGTGTTGCTACTCACTTATTTCCTTTACATAATCCTTTATATACAATCATGTATTAGCTTATAGTCGGAAAAATCAGTGCCTGAAGGATATCTTACTACTCAGTTATTTATATCTTCGTTCATAGTGGGAGGAATGCCTAGAGCAGACACGGTACAGAGCATAAATTAAGGAATAAGCAGGCATATATATATATATATAATCTTATCTTACTTATAGTAGGAGGAATGTCTAGAGCAGATACAGTGCAGAGCATGATTTAAGGGAAAAAAACAGTTATACTAGGACAAGAATTTATGGCCCAGGAGGCAGCGCTCAGTATCATAAAGATACCAGCTGAATGGCAGGCTTGGAGCAAGAGCCACTCCTCCCGAAAAAGCAGTGGTAGTACCTTGTGTCCAGTTCTTGTGGAAGGCTGCCCTCAGACTTGCAATCCCCCGAGCGTCCGAAGGCTTAAAACCCCTCCAGTATAATCGAAACTTGGTGACTGTATAACTTGTCAGCTCTCTAGCTACTGTGCTAAGAGCATCCTCCTACAGAAATCACTGGAAGCTGCCAGCAGGGGGCTGTAGACCTTGTCAGCTCTGTTG